AGCGTTTCTGTTTATGTTAATTCTTCAATTGTCATCCATCCATCGCTCGCAGCCAAAAGCAAAACTAATCGTTAGCGTTGATGATATTGTGCTACTCATTGCATCTCCATCTCGTTTTATTATTATTTTAGCGTATTTTACGTGATCAGTCTAAATATTAATTTATAATAAATAATTTAAACTTATGAAGTCAATTTTTTAATTTGTTCATTTTCTTTTGTGTATTACTCACCTTTCTTTTATTATCTTTTTTCAGTTTTATTTTTTATTAAATGAAAGTATTATCCTTTTTTGTCAACGTTACTTTTGACTACACTTAATTGTTTGCAGTTTTTTCACTTCACGTAAATTTTAAACTTTTTCCATTTTTTTTTCTTCGCACACATTTCAAAGTCCTAAGCTACACGCAGTATGGCGTATGGCAATTAAGTATATCAAATGCTTTACGTTTAGATAAGCATTTATGCTGCTTGTTATTGAATTTTTTTATTACCTCAATAAAATATATTAATTTTTCTTAATAAATGTTCCATCTTTTTCAAGACTTTCTCAGTTTTTTTTACATTTTTTGGTGCTAAATTAACGTATTTGCTTGTTTACGTTTTAAGCGAGATCATACGTTACAATTCACGTGATGCAAAAATAATAATTCTCGAATTACATAAGATAAAAACATTCATGCAAATAAATATTGAAGCATATATATTTTTTTAGAAAATGATATTTAAAAAGATATTCTGAAATTCGGCTAATTTTCTTATTCATTATGACATTTGCTTTTAACAAGTAACAGTAATTTTAGTTTGAAATTTAAAAATTTTGTTTGAAAAAGTTGTTTGTTAGCAAACTGCTTTCCATCATTGCTATTATTCACATCTAATTATGATAATTTCTATTGTTGTACTTGCAATTTGTGTCAGTTAATTTGAAGTTTACTTAGTAATTTATAGATGTTTTTTACTAATATGGCATTTGACCCCCAAAAAGTTTGCTTATCCTTTAAAATTTTGTGTATTACTTAATAAACAGACACATTCCTTTCATTCTTGTAATCCAATAAAATTTCGTTCTCTGTCCTTTTTAAATTGTTTTTTCACTTATCCTTGACATTTTGCTCGACTTCTGCTTGAATTATTTGAAGTTGAAAAAAAGTTCGATAAAAAATTTAAAAGTTTATTAAAAAATTCGCACTCATTGTTTCTATCAAAATCAAAAACAATTCAAATTTACATTGCTTTCAGTCAATCACTCGACTTCCTTTATTGGTTGGTTTCTTTCTTATAAGAATATATTTGAACGTAACTAAATAATCTAATCAGCGCACCAGCTGGGGCTGCGTTAATTGTTGTTTCTCGAAGTGTAAATTTCGTTAATTTGTTTACTTTAATTTGAATTTTTGTGTTTTCATTTTCTGATACTGTAAGCTTGCTTCTGTCACATATATTTCAGTATTATCGTATTAAAAGTCAGAGTAAGTATTTTTTGCAATTTGTAATTTTTCTACTAATTGCACAAGTCATCATGCGTTTTATTTAGTTATAAACGTATTTATTCACTTGAATACTTTAAAAATAATATAAGTTAATTTTTTGACTTTGCTTTGTGATAAGCTCTTACATACCTTAAAAATTTTTTTTTTTTCAAATTGACGCTAATTTTGAATATTCAGCAAAACAGGTCTCTTCTCCATGAATTTTGCTAGTAATGCACAGGTGGCGCCTTTATGTTTTTATTTGCTAATAGCTAAGTAAGTAATCAGCAGTTTGTCATTGAAAACTGTTGCTTACTTAGTTTATTTGTTTATTTCGATTTGTATGGATTTTATACTTAATAGGGCGTGTTAATTTTTTGCACACTGATGGATACGTTATTGTTGACGTGAAATAATTATTAATTTAATAAATATGATAGCAATTTTATTAACGAAAGTGATCGTTATCACTGATATAGTGATTTCATTGACTTGGGTATGTTTATTAATGATGATTGAATGACGTTTTGGTATATTCATTTTTTGTTCTGATGTGATGGGAAAGTACACGTTAAGGCAGTTTGAGTTGAACGCTCATTATCGATATTTTCTATTTTGTTTTTAATGATAATAATTAATAATTTAGCAAGAATTAGTGCTGTTGGATGATGCGCACTGTAAATGAATAAGTATTATACAAGGAATCAGTGCTAAAATCAAAACAAAACTTGATTGTTTCGCACTGTACAGTTGTTTTTGTAACATCGATTGTACAAACTTGTAAGTTACTGTGCATTATAGTGATTATTGTATTTAGAGATTTTGTATGACTGTCATGATTTAATGATAGTGTGACTAATGATTAATTTATATAGCAAGTAAAATACAGTGTAAGCAAATTAAATGTCTCGTAAAATTAAATTATATGAAGAAAAAATTCTTAAGGAATAATTTTCGATTGCTATTCCTTACTTAATGTACGATTTGATGTACAATCTTGTTAATACTGCAGAAAATTGACTAAGTTTTCTTGCTGCTTGCATTCTTCACTGGTTGTCCTCTGTAAGTAATGAAAATGAGCTATTTTTTAATTGAAAAACATGAAAATAATGCAGATATTGGTTTCTTTCATCCGTTTCCACCAGATCAAAAAAGCACCTCATCATTCCTTTGCTTGATCTGATCAGTTTCTTGATTGACTGAAATGTTGAACAAAATTCATCAAAACAAATAAATTTTGTTGGTTGCTAATTTTTCTTGCTCAATTTTAAAAGCAATTTAAAAATGATAAAAAGTCCTTTCTACAGAATTTAAAAAATTTGACAGATTACAGCTAATAATAATTCGGTATATTTGTTATTCTGTGCACATAGTGAGGAACAAGAATTATTCAGGTTTTGAACAAGGATACTTTTAAAAAATGTATGACTAACTGTTTGGGAATTTGAATTAATGTGAGCGAAAGGGTAATAAAACAAAGGAATAACTAAGAGTTTGGCATACAATTTGGTGATCAATTTAACTGTCAAGATTTTATTCTTTATTTTAAGCAGTTTTCCAGTAAACGTATCAAATTATTGAAACGACAGTAAGTATGTACTAGTTGGTATTGTATGCAATTTTTCAAGTCAGTAAAAGGTTGATAATGAATATTGAGAGTAGCACAATGATACAGAATTATTTAGATGCTTTTTGAGTGTTGTTGCTTATTTATGTTAGTTGGATTAAATGTGTCACATTTGTACTAGAAATTTTTCAATTCTTTGAATGCTTAAAATTTTCAATTGCAATGACATTTTTGGTGGATTAGAAAAGACAGTAGTTTGAATGTGTGATTAATAGTGTTACAATTCCAATCATTATAAGTGAAGTTAGCCAAAATAAAAAGACTAAGACTACAGTTGAACAGTTGAAATGGTTTATTTGTATTTATTATTTTATTGTAAAAGATTTATTTTTTGTTTAAAATTGAAAAAATGCAAGTAATTATTTAATAAAGTGCAAAGCAATGTGAATTTGGAACATTTGTTTGTAATACTTACTGTGCTTGCATTATTAGTGTTATTGTTATAATTGTTATGGCAGTTAAATTTAAGCAATTTTTTTTACATTTTTCATCATAGTCTTATTTATATCATATTTGAAATGCAAACAGAATACAAATAACAATGTTACATATTGTATCCGTCACTGTTTGTTCTAATTATTTGTTTCATTGAAATTATTCGGTTTTTATATTTTTTTAATACTTTTTTATTACAAGAATTATCGTAACATGCCGTGCCAAGGAGTTGATAGAGTGTATTATGTACGCATCGTCGCTGTTCAATGAATAATTTTCATATTAATATTTTCTCATATATCAAAACTAAAAATTTGCATATGTTAGATTTTCATCAAGCAAGCATTTATTTTCTTCTTGCAAGTTACAGGAATATAAAAAAGCTTACGAATGCCAAATGTAGCCACGAGTAAAGTTGTATTACAAAGAAATACATTACCGAGATTTTCTACTAGACGACGATATGAAACACGGGGTTTGGATAGCTTGCAAAGTACTCCACATGGTTCACGTACGAATCCGCCAATTAGACGAGTAAGTCTAAGTATTTTTAAAACTTCATTTTATAGACTATAAATTAAGTTTTTCTTTATAAAGATCTTTTGAAAATAAATCTCAAAATTATTGCTAAATGAGTTATTATTTACTGCAATTTTCTACTGTTTATAAAAACCTTTGAAAGATTGCTTATTAGTTAAGTCTACTGTTAGGTTTAGTATTGTGTTTTAGATCATTTTCTTTTTTAGGAATTTGGAGTGAATTCAGAAACATACTTGTCAATTTTTATTAATTTTTATTCAACAATGATTGAAAAATTTTTTGAATTTTTAAAATGAATAGCTGTGGGAATAAAGTTGTGAATAATTAATTTTAAAAAATGTGCATAAGTGTTTCTTGTTGTTATATTTATGCTATATCAGTCGGTATTGCTGAAGTAATCATAACCTAATATATGGTAATACAAGTTTAATAATTAATATTAAGGTTATATTTATTGATATGAAAGGAAGGTTTAAATACTTGACCAGTATGTTTCTCAGTGATTATTTTTTCTGAATCAGTGATAATTCAAATTTACATTTTTTTCAAAATAAACTACAAGAATAATATGTAATGGATACACAATGTTTATGATTGGGCTTGCAATATATGAAACACGATGTCGATATTTATTGATTTCGAATAACTGTAAATTAAATAAAAATTTTAAGAATTGATGGAATATCGCTGATTCATATTGATTATTAAATACGATACACATTTATAACAAATGTTTTTTGTAATAGGTTATGACTAATTGTATAAAAATGATTTTGTTTTTCAGAATTTGGCATATAATTTGCCATTAAATGGGTCTACAAGTAGTAGTGGTAGCACAGTTTCAACAACGCCAAACGAATCAGCTAGATCAATCTCACAGGGATCACCTACTTCTATCACTGATACTGTTATGAAGCAGTCAGAGGATAACGATCTCTATAATGAGGATGTCGCAAGCGTTCTCACAACTGATGCTACAGCTAGTACGTTTTCTGTATCTGATTTGTTTTAGTTCACTAATAAGCAGAACAATGGAAGGGCAAAAACTGTATAAATTATTTTCTGTAAATTCTAGAAAATGTACTTTCGAAATGAAAAGTAAATAAACTTTTTCAAGTATAACTTCTTGTCTTTAAGAACAAAAATTTTTATTGTAAGTAGAAATTGTATTAAATTTTCTTATTGATCTATACATTAAATAGATTTGTAAAGCGTTTGTTTAATCTTGTAGTAGTTATCTAAACATATGTGTATTGTTGATAGGGCAGAGTATGTAATTATATCTGTAATAAACTGAATTAAATACGAATTCCTGCATAATATATAGCTAACAGTATGAATGTATTTTATTTTACTATTACTAGAAAACTGTGACAGCCATTAATAGTTATTTTTATTTTGTCTTCAGGGTACTAACAAAAATCTTATTGAATTATTTCAAAGCTTTTTAAAAAATTTGAAGTAATTCCACGTTTGACGAGTGTATGCATTAAAAACTAATTTTTCCAGCGCATAATTTATGGTGATATCGATAGTGTTAAAGAACTAGTTTGATTTATTGTTTGATTCAGTTTATGATAGATATAATTTTTTATAGTACAAACTTTATTTTGTTAAGCAGACCTCAAGATTGTTTTAAATACATAAGCTGCTTTAATTTAACTTTTTTTGTGCTTTGAAGAATATTTACTTTATTTACTTTAAATAATATTTGCTTTACTTACTCCGAAAGATATTTACTTATCAAAACAGATCTCTCTTTACCTTAATAAAGTTGTTCTATAAAAAAGAGATTGAGAAATATCAAATGATCCTAGAATTTTTCATTTTCAATAAATGAATAAATTTTTTATCTTGTATTCTTTTAATAAATAAAATTGTACACTTTCAGGCACATCACACAATATTTCTCCTCCAGCATCTAGTCGACAACATTTATCTTCCATCGCTTCACAACATCCTGTATTACCAATGCCATTCCGTTGCTTTCCGGGGGTAAAAGCGAAACGTGTCAGGTTTTATCGTAACGGTGATCAGTATTTCAAGGTAAAATTCCTTTTCCAAATTCGCAAATGTTCATTTGTTTCATACAAAAGTAGCCAATATTATCGGTATATTGAATTACGCCTTATATGTTGTTTGAATTTTAATAATTCAATATTACGAGTTATGATTTTACTGGAATTGCACTACTATTTGACTTGATTAAATATAGTTTTTATTTATAGGGCACGTGGTACGCCATATCAGTAGATAGGGTACGATCCTTCCAAGTTTTGTTAGGTGACTTAACGAGAACTTTAACTGATGCAGTAAATTTACCGCATGGTGTTCGACATATCTTTTCTCTTGATGGCTCTCACAAGTTATCTTCGTTAAATGAATTTGAAGATGGGGAAAGTTATGTTTGTTCAAGGTAGGTTACAAAGGTGTTCTGTTCTCATGAAAGAAAACTGATTTTTTTGCCAAGATTTTTACATCTGATTCAGTTTTAATATGAGATTTAATGAGTCATATCTGTTTTGAGGTTTTCTCACTTTCAGCCAATAGTTTTATTTCTAATGAATTTAGTTCGGAAGCATTCAAACGGGTTGATTACGAAAATGCTCGCGAGCCAACTTGGTGTATATCTTTGACTGGCTCATCGCCCATGCCTTTAATGGTGGATTCGCCTTTAAAACAGGTCAGTTAATCTGTGAGAATTGAAACAGTTACTAATTTCGTGTTTAAAGAAACATACATAGCAATCACGAATATGTAGACAAATTTTAGGAACCAAATGATTTTGTTTATCCGCGAATTATCACTATTATTAGGAATGGTGTTAAGCCACGTCGTGTAGTGCGGCACTTACTGAACAAACGAACAGCCAGATCTTTTTTACAGGTTTAATTTAATTTTGTTATCTTATTTACTGAAAAGTTGTCCTTTTATGATAGGTTCTTTCAGAATTGATAAAAGTCAGTTTGAAAAGATGTGAGTATTTTGTTTCTTTAAAATCGAAAACAAATATGGAAAACATGTGTTTAACAGAGTAAAACCGGAAAAGAAGTGTTTTTGTAGGTAATTCAAGATATAACGGCTGTGGTCAAGCTTGATAGTGGCGCTGTTAGGAAGCTGTATGCACTTAACGGCAAAGAAGTTTGTACTTTATTGGTATTTGATTTATTGATTTAATTTATCATCTCGATTAGTTACCACGCTTTAGTAGCCGTTAATAAAATAAAACTCATGCCTGTTTTTTTGACAGGAATAATTGCTTTCTTATCACATATTGTTTTTTCCATTTAAATTATCTAAGTCAACTAACCTCTTTGGAAAATAATTTAAAGAACTGCAGAATTAGAATTATTAGTAAGGATAAGAATGTAGTAAATATTGCAAATAAAAAGAGATTGTTTTTGAAAAGTAAATTGCTAAAATACGACGATCATTTTAGGTCACTTGTTTAGCTGATTTTTTTGGTGAAGCTGATGTATTTATTGCGTATGGTAAAGAAAAAATGAGTGTTGATGATTTTTATGTTGTTTCTGAAGGTAGTTTTTGATGATATTTCCGTATCATTTTTAAAATGAAAGCAGAGAATTATATTAATTTAGAAGAAAAAATGCAATTGTTTGAAACGTTTTAAATATTTTGATTAAAGCTCTTGCAGCATAGTTCCATGTTTTATAGTTTTCGAATATATAATTCGATACTATTAATTTTTTCAATAAATTTTATTCTATGCAGAATCTAAAAGATTGTATTGTTTGCGGTCGCGTGCATCACGTAGTAAACCATTACGAAGAAGGATGCCAGCTAGAAATGAATCTTTGCGAGAAGATCGTGCAGGAAGCATCGTTCCTGATTCAGAAATGAGTAAATTTTAATTGATTGTTTCTAAAACAAAATATATTATTCATTTAAAATTTGATAACAGTATACAACATTATATTCATAGGTCGGAATCTCCCCCTACCTCTTGATAATGCAATGCATTTGGTACGATTAATTGGTGACGGCAATACAGCTTTAGTATATGAAACAATTTGCAAGTAGAATTTTGTACTTTTTTACTTTGTTTTGGTATTTGAATCCAACAGTTTATAAGACAAGAATATATTTCAACTAATATTATAACCTTATTTGTAAATGAGTCTAGATCTATAATTCAATATCTTACTTTTTGAATCTCATTTTTACTACATCTAGATTTTAGTTAATTTTCATAGTAGGTTTGTTGACAAAAATTTTCAGTTTTACGTTTCATTTTTAGGAAAACTCGGGAAAGAAAAGCATTGAAAGTAATTGCTCGTGAAAATGTAGTTGGAAAAGAAGAACTTATTAAATCAGAAATTGATATAATGCGAAGGGTATCACATGATTTCATCGTACAAATGCACAATTGTTGGGAATTCGAAGGATCTTTCTATTTATCTTTCGAGCTTATCAGCGCAAGTTTTGTTTCGTCATTTATTTCTATGAATTTTTTGATATTACTTGTGCAAAAAGTATTCAGCATTCGTTTTTATTAATTCTAAATATTGTTAATTGTTTTTGTTGTAACTGGAAAAATCGTTTAGGGGGGTGATTTATTTGAGTATCTTTGTCAAGTACGTCATGTCACTGAACGATGCGCTGCTGGCTTATTATATTGTTTGGCTTCTGCACTCAATTATTTGCATAATTTAAATATTGTTCATCGTGATGTTAAACCAGAAAACTTGCTAGTAAGTTAACACATCGTTTTATTAATATAATGCAATAAAAATTTGCTCAGTAAATTTGAAGTTGTCATGGTGAACTAAATGGAACTGTGAACTTTCAAATATTATCAAATTGAATATGATAGTTGAACTACTGTCAATGAATTTTGACTTTTGTGATTGCTTCATTTTACTCATAAGACATTTTTCTGTTCTTTCTGTTTCCTTTTATGTACTTAATAACAAATATTCCAAGGTCTATTCTTGTCCATTTACGAGAAATTTACAATTGAAATTGGCTGATTTTGGATTGGCTGTTCAAATGAGCGATGAACGTTTAACAGTAATATGTGGCACACCAACCTACGTTGCACCTGAAGTAAAACTGCTAAAGAAGTTTCATGCATATTGTATATAAATATATAGATAATTTACACATGCAAATAAATAGAACATGTGTTCTATTCTGTTTGGGGTTTATTTTCAAATTATTCAGACCTTTGTATGATGTTAATTCGTTTCTTATCAGTAACAGTTGCGACTTTCAGATATTCGCTGAGATTTTATCATTTGTACTGAACATTAATAATAATTGAATTTTTTCCTTGATTAAGTAGTTTTTTCTTCAGGTACTTGCTGAACTTGGATACGATCATAAGGTAGACTTGTGGGCCGCAGGTGTCATCCTTTATGTTCTTCTTTGTGGTTTTCCGCCTTTTCAGAGGTATGGCTTTCTATAGAGTGTTTGTAACACGAAAGAATTTATGGTGTTTTGAACTACTCTCAGTTTTGTAATGCAGTCAAGAATTAAGTAATTATGTATACATAATTCGCGTTTGAATTTTTGAAGAAAAAAAGGGCGGATTTATCGACTTCTACTAAATTTTATATTTTTTGAATTAACTGGAGGGATTTTTAGTTTAAAACTCAAGAAATGTTTATATTTTTAATCATGAAGTATCTTAGTGCTAATGGTAGCCAAGAACAACTTTTTGAACAAATTTTGAATGGTCGTTTCTCATTCCCACCGCCAGTTTGGGAAAATATTTCTTATTCTGCTAAAGGTCTCATACAAGGGTTGTTGCAACTGGATGTTGAGGAACGTTTTTCAGCTTCTCAAATACTTGATTATCCATGGATTCAGGTTTGTGTTATATCCTTCCACAAATATGTAGTACAGATATAGCTTACATTCTTATTCGCTACTTTATTTGCTTTTACCAATGCATTCTGGTTAGAGTGTTTTTGCAGGGTTCTGGTAAGGTTAGTGATGATTACGAAAAGCTAATGGAAGCTGCAGTAAAGGCTAGTGTTCAAAAAGAAGCACGGCGAGATGCTCTAGAAGAAACTGATGTTGAATTCTTCTATTCTAGGTTATATCAAAGTAGAAGATTTAATGAATAAGAAAATTTTCAGTGCAAATCATTTTTCAAATGTATTTCATATATTGTGCAAATATTCATTTGTACTTGCAGGAGAACTAGTATGGATGAACTGAGCGATTGTCGCGACAGTATTTCTCGCCGTAATAGCTCATTCGAATATTTGCCGAATGAAGATAAGAAAGGTGATTGAACTGAACTTCGAGTACTTGATGCAGCTTCATTTTTATTCTCTTGTTAATTCAAGTGTGGTATATAAAACTGTCTAGATAATGTACTGCTCAAATTCAACGTTGCTTGATTTTTGTAGAATTGACCAATTTATTATTTTTTAGCTTATGAAAGAATCCTTTTTTCTTTTTATTAAAAAATTACAAAAGTCCACACGCTGCGTTTCTTTGTTGCTATCGTCATTTGTTCGAGATTGGCTTTTTTCATTCATTTTCCAGGTAAATTAATAATTTTGCTCATTTTTTTGTTACCATTACCACAGCAGTCGTATGTTTAATGAAGTGCGTCGTAAACTTTTCATCACATGCTTATCTTCTCAAAACTAATTATGTTACTTTTGCTGAATATGAGACTTTTTGAATCATAATTTTTATCTCAGTCTGACATTTAAACTTCTTCAGTGCTTTTAGATATTTGGTTCAAAAAGGTCAGGGCGAAGAATTTTTGATTTTTAGATCGAAGTGACTTGATTGATAACATGTAATGCTGTGAATTAGTTAAGTAATTTTTCTCGACACTAAAGTTCCGATTTCGGGTTGAAACGTGTAACTTTTTACGTCGTTTGGTTCATGTTAAATGTTTTTTCTTTTGTGCCTAATATTATGCAATATTGCCATCATTTGCTTGGAATCTTATTTTATATTTTATAACCTTAATTGTGCGATTCCTGATCCAAATTCATAGAAGTTTGTTCTTTCTTCCGAAATCTTCTGATGTGACTTTTAAGTTTCACTTTGACCTAATTTTAGCAAGCAAAGCTGAAAGAAAATCTTGTTATTTACTTAAATTTGTAATTTTAAATTGTTTCATTGTTTAAATATTGTTTGTCTGAAGATTACTTATTGTAAAGATGAACGGCAGAATGCGTTGTAATTATAGCATCCTCTTGCTGTTTGCTTTTTGAGTTTGTTTAGGAGTATTATTAGTTCATGATAATAATAATTATTATTATTACTATTATATTGTTGTGGTTTTGCTACTCTATTCAAATATAATTAAAGCGTTTTTTGTTTTACTTTATGCTACACATACGGCTACACATACGTAATAGGTGGGTCAGTTGAGATTAGAAAGTTCAGCTATGTGTGAATTTAGCTTCTGATGATGCTCGAGCTGAACAATAGAGTTTGAAATAGTAGATAATGGTTATCTTAACGTGAATGGTTTAATTTTCTTCAATCGAACTCTCGGCTTGATTAATATGAAGGAATTGCAGAACATTCAAGTTAAATTACTAGTGTAAAACTTGAGTAATTCGATACATGAATATGAAGAATGAGATCAGCTGAGTGAAATAACTGCATTCATTCTGTATACATTTCGAAGGATCAACGGTTTTGGACTGAATAATATCAGATCTAATTAATTCGTTAAACTCTGACCTCTGAGTGCTTTTTTCAATTGATCTAAAAAGATTTCCAAATGAAATCACAAATTCTGCTAGAAAAGGTCGCAGTGATTTCCTAAATACCAAAAAAATCAGCATAGGATCTGATTCAACCTATAACTCCCAATCAATTATTAATTAAAATGGTAGTTCTACTTGCATTCTTCTGACAGCGCTGCTTACCTTTTTGAGCCCTCACTGATCACTAATGATCGCTCTGATTGTTGCTGTAATTATCTAACAGAAGAAAATATCACTGACAGGCAGAGTGGCAGATTGGTTAATGCACATGTGTGTTTGTATTTTTATCGTAGAGATGGATAAAGAAGAAACAATAGACAGAGGTCATGTCATACAGATAACCTTTGACCTGTGACCTCCCTATGGAACCTTCTTCTTTTCCTTTTTACCAGATTTATTCGAACCTTGCATACCATTTTTGGTCTGGTCCTTCAGCATAGTGCCACACGCTAATGACCATGTCCTGTTTCATCATAGTTCATTGCTTTTTCTCCTCAAACGAAAACTTTTACTTAGTGTTTACCACATTCATAGTTATGACTATTATATTATCATTTCGTTTATATTAAAAATTAAGTTTTTTGTATTCAGTTTGATGCTAGATTTCTCATTTCTTCATCTCAAATGAAAATTCTTTCCTAAATTTCAAACACTTTCTACAGTATTCAATGGAGTTATTTTTGAATAAATAAACACATGCACATTTTTTTGAATATTTTTAGTTATGATTTCAAAAATTTTGAATAATGAAGAATCGCAATGAAACTCTGATCGCAACAATTTTAAATAAATGTTGTTAGTAAGTCGATTTCTTCTACAAGCTAAAAATTGATGTTTTGATAAGCATGATGTCAGCAATTATTCTGAATACTACAAATAATAATATTTCTGTGATTGATGATGGATTTCGTGTAAGACTGTAATGCAATTAATTAACTCTGAGAAACCACTTAATAATGGTAAATATAATCATACTTTGATACAGAAATTGATCTTATCAAGTTTCATGCTAGATCGTTGATTTTGATAAAGGATTTCAGTTTTGAACCGTTCATTTTACAAAGCATACAAATTAAACCAGCAAGCAGGAAAAGCGCATCCTTTGCTTTTATCCATTATTAAGCTAATTATTATCAATACTATTAACTGAATTACCTTTATTACTGTCATATTGTTATTGTACTCGTTAAAGTCATCAAAAACAATTAGAATCATTGAAGACTTAAAATTTGAATTTTGAAGATTCATGGGAATTATACGAAATATAAAGATTACTTCCAGTATTATAGTGTTCATGACAGCTTTCTTACAGTAATTTTTTGCGACATTTAATGTCTATTAAATTTCGCAATCATGTCTACTGCAGACAAGTCTGCAATTGTCAATCATCTTTCGTAATACTATTGTCGCGTAATTTGCTACATTAGAGTTGTCGTATTCTATCTTCCATTTACTGATATTGCTCAACTGAGTTATTTTCACGCTTTCTAGCACGTTACATATTCTTTAATTGACACTTTAAATGTCATGTCTACACTTACTTCATTATTCAATTTAGTTATTCTCATATATATATATATGTTGCGTAATTGTTCATGTCTAGATTTTCGTATTTCCCACACTTATTTATTCAATACTTAATTCAGTGAATTATTACTTTATCAGTCATGTTTGCCAATCCCTGCATAATTTTTCCTTTTAAATTCAATGAAATAATCAAAAGAATTCGTAAATTAATTGTTTTCTCGTACTTTTAAGTATATTTATCGACTAGAATGATTGATAAACGTTTTATTGATAGTTGTGATACTTCCTGATCTGTCAAGTAGACCTACCATGATTCTATACCAGTAACGTAGACTATATCTGTTTTGTACAATCGAAAAAACATGGATGTGGTAGAAAGATGTCCATGAATCTCCAAAATTCAAATTTGCAAATCCTCAATGCCTTATTAGTGTTCTTATTTGACAACCATTCAATCAATAAGGAGTATTTCGCTTAATCGTGATTTATTTCTTCAATTTGCAATCCCACTATGATATCATTGCCACTCACAGATCACCCTCATTTCATCGATCGATAACCAGGTTCTGATCAAAAACTTAAGCTCATGATTGCGTAGAATGTATGAAATTGTCTTAAATGCGCTAGCATGAAATCATTGCTACAATCAAGATAATACAGATAATAGCCACAATTATGACCATAACTATGACCATAATCGTGATTACATTTTTCCTTGCTGGATCTATTCCTTCTTCATTTCTTTCTCTAACTCTGCCTCTCTGCCTTTCCTGCTGCTACTATGCCTCTTAGACTGGTGACAGGTGGCGTGACGTGACAAAGTGTGTATTCTTCCTCTCTTGTCAATTTTTGGCGGTTAATTTTAGTTTCAACCTTTCTTCTCTCTCCCTGACTACTTTTTCGTTCTCTTTTGCTTGAAAATTCATTTCTACACTGTTACTCTTTCTCTTTCTCAGCCTCACTTTCTTTTTCCCTGAAATGAGCAGAGGGAAAATTCAAATTTTTGAAAATGTAAATTAGATGGAGGGAAAAAGGATGAATGTTTGAAAGAGTGAAGGGGGTAAATGGATGGATAGGCAAAAGAGTTGCACAGTTTAAATTTCGCTTATTTAAAATTTCATATTCTTGCTAAGCAGTCTCTCCTTCATTTAACCTTCTTGTCTTTTATGTCTTTTCTCTGTAAAAAATTTGCATATCATATAAAACAGTAATGACGGTAATATTCATATAGATAGTACTGGTATTGACATAAAGTTTATAATGAAAGTAATGGAGCTATCTATCAATATCAATATAAAAGTGAACTTGTATGACGAAAATCAACTGCAGAAAAATATTCAAGCATTTTATGCTGAGTACTTTGCATACTTCTAAACTGCTTTTACTGAAACGAATATATGCGTGCTTGCGTGTTGAGCTGTCTGCACGTCTTTGTCTGTATTTGTGTATATGGGCTTCAGCGTACAAGCGTCTGTTTGCATCTGTGCATGTGCATATTTGCTTGTGCATATGTTTGTACATGTATTATGTTTGCATATTTCCGTACATTAAAAATTGTAGGTATGTGTAGGTATTCATTGTTAAACTTTCGAGGTGGCTGAATTTATGTAGGAATTAAATAAATGGCATGTAACGGCGGGAAGAAATTTGGTTTGAATGGTATTAGAAAGAAGTGATGAAGAGTGCAAAGGTTGTTTCTTCATTCAAATATGACATCTTTTGAATAATGGTTTCGTTTTAACGCCAACAAATACATGTGGTATGTACGTGTGAGGGAACAAAATATTTCAAGTTAGCAAAAGTTTCTAAATATAAAAATTTAGTTTTTAGAAAATTAATGATATTCAGAAATTTTTTAATTATTTCAAGTATTTGAAAAAATAAATGACCTTTCTATTTTCCGTCTATTTTTCTCTCTTTTTTATTATTTGTCGCAAACAGCAGTTTTTTATGTTTTTAACGGAAAAAGTGCTTGCAGCTGTCATGGCCATCTTTAATCCATTCTGCTTGTAATGCATCACACCTTTCAACATGCCATTCCCCTAAATTCATTCATATTATGATATCATCAGTCAACTTTTTCTTAATTATATGATGGTAAATTTACCATGATGTTTAACGGGCTCTAAGTATCACGTGTATCTTTTTCATGTTGTTTGAATAATGCTTGTTTTTCGCTACCATTTAATATCTGTTTTTCTAATTGTTATTCTTCACTCAATTTGCTTAAACCGCCATACTTATTTTTTCCTTTTTCATTTTTTAAACTTGCACTGATATTTTTTTTTATTTGTTATCCTTAATCCCAGTATATTGACTTAAGAATTTCCTAGGTAGAAGCACGCAAAGTTTTCTAGGACAAAATTTTATTAGCTTTTTTTATATGTACAATAGTTCGCTTCCATTTTGTTATTGTTTTGTACTACAAGAAAGAGGCATAAAAAATTTAATCAATCAAAATCAGAAAGTGACCTGGCATGGATACATCATGTCACGGTGCATACTCCAGTGATCAACAGATGTTCCCAACTCTATATGATTCGCAAACACCTTCAACTTCTTATGGTCCATCGATTGCGGGGCCAAACTTTCCTCAATCTCATCATCCGGGTGCTTATTATGCTTCACAGGTCCATAATTATCATCTACCTCCGGTTCCTGGGTAACATCTTTCTCATATTTTGTTTTCGTTAAATTTATCAAAATATCGTATTTGAAACGAAATTTTGATCAAAATTCATGGTATCTTATTTTTGTTCTGTTTGCCGGAAAACCAATGGTAAATAGTCTGCAGTGATTTGAACAAGCAAAACGCCAACTTCGAGAATTAACTTCATAGTGAGTTTTAATTTAATTTCAGTCTTCCATATCCATCAACATCAATGCCAAATAGTCCAATGAGGAAAAAATGTGAACAACCATCAGCATTATATCCTGAACGGATGGTACCAGCAGCACCAGATAACCGTAAGATTGCCAATACTCAGGCTTGGATGAATGATCATTGCTTTATGAATTATGCTCAGCAACATGAATACAGAACTGGTTCTGCGGTAACACTTTTCTAAATTCACATAAATTTTACCTTGCGTGAAACTTCTGAAACACTTGTTTTTATTTTTTTAGCTATTCCGAAAGTTTTTATTTTTTCTCAGTAATCCTGTTATTTTAATGAATAATTCCTGATTTTACCATTATTATAAACAAATTTACTTTCATGATACAAACAAATTCTATCTTCTCATTATTCCACGTCAGATTCTGTTACTGTGTTGAATATTCGTTGTTGTTTCCTGAATTTGTACTTACCATTTCAGTCTTTACCTTTAGTATTAATACTGCAGGTAATTAATATTTTAGCCTTCTTCGGTGATGTCAATGTCACGTATGAGTCATCTTAGCAGTGCAACAGAAGATACCAGCATGTTAAGTGTTAACACTCAAATTACTGAACTCAGACAATTATCAGATTTGGTGTGTGATGTTCGCCAAATATAATTTGATTTACAAGATACATTAGTAATTTTTGAAGTGGATAAATATTAAATTTGGCAACTTATTTGTTAAGAACGTTTGCATTTATTCAATTAGGTTAAAATCATTCTTCAAACCTTTTATAGCATTTTACTATATAATACATGTTCTCACTTGAACATTGAACTGAAGTTATAGAGAGCCCAGATGCACACTTCAGCACCATCGTCCTCATCTTCCTGCATTGAAAATATGGGTCCAGATCATGTGAAATTTATTGAGACTGTCAACAAATATATCGAAAAAATCACCGTTCATGTAAATCACGTCGATAAGGTGCAGTCTTGCACATTTTAGTGGTGGCAAAAAATTTACATTATGGATATATGTAACCTTTAAGAATTTTTGCAGATATTCATGTTAATATTTCATAGCTTCCAAAATAAATTTATTCACATTATGTAATTGTATGTGATAGGCGCAGATTTTTTCAAACAGCTTAACATTTTGCGAATTTAAATTTCGGTTAGCCGCAGATACATTCCAAGCACTTTTAATTGCGCAGGAAAAAATAGCATGAATAACCAAAATCGTCAAATGAAGAAAAATCAGTCGCAAAATTAGCTTGCTGTGGTTTTTATTTTTGTAATTACTATGTTTTCCGCATCATTAATATTCTCTACTTTCTATATTTTGGTCTAACAAATTAATTTTCTTCTCATTTGTCATGCGTTTAAATATCCTTGCAGAAAGTAGCACAAGAAATGGTTCGCGCAGTGTTTATGATGGCAACAAGAAATGATTTTGAGCGGGCAGATGTAGATAAATTAGAGAAAATGATGAAAACTTTGATACAGCGATGGTTGCGGCAAAATGATACTGAAGACGAAGTGATTTTCTTTATTATTTTGATTTTTTTGCAAGCTTAATTTTTCGATCTTCTATGAAGAAGATCTTTATAATTTTGAGTTCTGTGATTTTCTATTAAAAGGATCTGTGTTAGCAATTTCTCATCGTCTCAAAGTTTGTCAAGTTATTTTCAGATTGTTGAAACTATTTTACGGATTATGACTCGGTTCTCTGCTGACGGTAAAACAAAGCAAATTATGGCAAAGGTATATACATTTTATTAAACAAAATAGTATGAAAATGGTTTCAGTTGTGTATGAAATTACAAATTCCAAAAGTGATTATATATTGTTGCTCAGATTTGTGGAAAGTTCTATTTCCGCTTTTAAAAACTGTATTTTTTAGTGGATGATGTATTATGCAGATGAACTACTGGAAACATTTATACGATGGATGGAGTTAGTTTATCATTTACTTTGTTGAGTTGTTATATGAATTGTTTTCTTTGTTAAGATATCACTATTCAAACTAATTCAAAAGTTTTTCACTTCTGTGAAATGATTAAAAATTTTCAATTGAAATCATCTGTTTCAAGAAATTTCGTCCCTTTTGGCAGTAGTCATTCTATTTCAAATTTAATTTAACAATATTTTTTTTAACTTTAAATCTATCTAATGACTGTTCAAAATGCATACTTCATAAAAATTACTCTTGTTTACTGGGAAAACTTATTAGTTCCAGTTCTTACAATATAATTGCAGCCCAGCCCAAAAGTCTTGCAAATATGCATTAAATACTGTTCATTCATTAGTGGGAATGGTAGATCGGAACCGATATGGGAAGGATACGAAAGAACAAGTAATTCGTATTATTAAGTATAAGATCATTCAAGTGCATTTAAGGATCATGCCAGTTTGACAGATTATCTATTTTTAGACATTTCAAGCTTCAGCATATATTTGATCTGAAAATATGCTTATTTTTACTATTCTGAAACTATGCTTATTATTATTATACCTCAGATTCTCGATCGAACTACACGTGTAATGAAAGAAATGGATGAGAAAGGAGATCACTACTTCATTAATACTTATAAATCAAAACAATATGTTTTTGATTTGGTTCGAAGAGTGTTTAATGGTAGTGATACATGGAGGGTGAGTTTCTCTATGGTTGTGATACTATTTTTGCTTCTCCAATTAAATTTGTCTTCTTATAAGCTTAGCAGAGTAAAGACTCTGAAAGGAAAAAGAATATGTAATTCAGATTCTTTATTACCTTAAATTTGATTATCTCAAATAAATCAAGCAGTTAGATAGATGTGGAAATTTTTTCGTTAATTTTGCTACATTTTCAAAAGTCATTTGTCCTATATTGATAAAAGAAATTCCCCAGATTATGAGCCATATTATGGCTAGATCACGGCATTTTTGGATTTGCTTCTGCACCAGCTTACAAAAATTCAAAAAACTACGATATAGGAAAGAATCGAACTTCTATTTTTTATTTTTTTAAAAACGTTGAAGCTGAAAAATATTGAAATGTATGCAATATTTCAGCAATTATTCGAATCAAAAGGAGGTATTCAACTTTTGCTTCGGATGTTGAAAAAGGAAGTCAATGAATCAGTGGTGTATAGGATAGCTCGAGCGATTTTTGCTATGGTTTGCTCAACAGACCTTACTTATGCAAAAAAATTTGTGCAACTGGATGGTGTCAAGGTAACTATAAGTTTCTCAAAATAATAAAACTGGAAGGCAAAGAAGAGACATGAGAAATATCTTCCATAAACCAACAGTTTGACATAGTTATTTTCTGTATTATGTTTAGTATAAAAAAAACATTTAGCACGAGGATTTGATTTAACCGAGTTATTGATTTCATAAATAAGCTCATTACAATATTTAACATGAATAATTTATACTTAATTCTAGACTGTCTCATATCTTTTGGCTAATCCTAATTGTTCTGAACGCGTTGCCCTGGATGTTATGTTGTGTTTACGAGTAGTCAGTGATGTAGAAGGAGTAAGAAACGCTGACTTACGTGAGACGATTAGTCGAGCGTTGAGTATGATGGGTATTTTTCGTAATAATCCATATTTTTTACATGTTGCATTCGATTTCTTGGGAAATATTTCCACAACGCGCAATGGCAGCGCAAATGCTAATAAGGTTTAATTATTAATTTTAAACTGATTCTGTTATTTTTTTTGAAGAATTAACATTCAAAATTTGATGTTCGCGTTTGTGATGAAATTCTTTCAAATTACCTTTTCTTTACAGATCAAGAAATTTTAAATGCACTCATTTATGCATCAGGTTTTTTTTCCAGGATTTCATAGCAGATTGTGGCATCATCGAAGGTATAATTAATTTACTTCAAACCTATAATAAAAGGCGCGATGAAACAGTCGTCAAAAATCTTATTTCTTCAATGCTATGGTCATTGCATGTTTTCACGGGTGGTTGTTCTTCACCAGAACGTAATATCAGTGTTAGAAAACGAGTGAGGCTTATTTGTGATCAATTCATTTAACAGTTCACATTAAATATTCTTGACATCATAATAAAAAAGTCATAGATATATCATACTGGACAATATTTTTTTTCTTCAAGTAATTGAATATGTTGACGCAACACATGTATCAGTGATAAATCAGCCAAAAATAGTTAATGCATTTCATACCTTGAAAAGAATTGAATTCAACCTTAATTTTACGTTCCAGCTGATATTATTTGATGGAGCTCCAAGTTTGTTACTGAATGAACTTGCTCATCCTGTAGATCTCAGTTCACGTTTATACGTCATAAGTGTAAGTTTTCACGGTGACTGTGAGTTGTTAGTGATTAAATTAGTTAATAAACAGTAATAAAATGTTAGTGCATACAGATGAACGTGAGAAAGAAAAAAAGATGCCAATTTAATCTGTTATCAATATTTTCGACATAAATTAATCAGAATTGTTAGTTATGATCAAAATTTCAGCTGTTTGCGCGGTTAGTTGATGCTGATCAATTAAATCACCCTCCCATTTTGTTCGCCATAAATGTTGATAATAATTCAATGACAGATGTTTTGTTTGAAATTATCACTACAACTGCAAATTCGTTATCGGTATACTTTTTAAATATTATTGAGTGCTGTATTTTTGTTGAAGAGAAACGTACAATAAATAAGGTGTGTGGGGAAGTGCAGCAGTTAAAATTGTGGAAAACGCGACTCATAATAACAGTTTTTTATGTCAATCATAGCATCTTATGCATAAGATATATTTTTCACTTCAGCATTTTCTTCAGTTTGTTTTTATAGATACTGTTTACTTAAATCAAGATAATGATGCCTACATCGTTCGATGAGTGATTTTACATTCTAACTTTTCGATCACTTCTAGAGTAGTGAGAAAGGAAATTCCCAGAAAAAATCAATTATCCAAAAAGCATATGCCCTGCTAACCTCGCTTGCGAACTGCAATACAAACTTTGGGAATTCTATTCGATATTTATGGTTTGCTATCTTTTAATTACTTTTGCCCATTTTATAAAATAGCAGTTTGTATATACATTATCGAAAATACTCAATTGGTCTTAATTGTAATGAAAAATGATTGAAATCTTGGTATATAAAATACTTACAATTTATATGAGTTATATTAACTAGTTAGAAATCACGATGAAAATGAGACAGTTCAATTTCGAATATGCTTTTCAAAATAAATGTGATCTAAATTAAAATGATTACATTTTAGTAGTTCTTATCAAATATGGGATTTGTTATTGGCTTGCGAAGATTCAGATGTTGTCAAAAGTACCATTGATTTTCTTATGTTTATGATCAAAGATGAAGCCGTTCGTGAACAGCTCTCTAAAGATTGCTCTCTTGTTGAAGCCATCCGTAGTTTGACAATTCAAATGAATGATAATGGTTATTTAAGTTTTGTTCTGCATTCTCAGATTCCAAATAAAGATATTTTTAAGTTAATCTTTATATTATTAATGTTTTGAATCATTTTTTATGACATTTCAGGTTCAGCAGCGCAATTTTTACTATTCCACTTGATGGCAGAATCCGATACGATGGTTTCTTTCACACCGATGTTATAATTTTAATGTAGAATTTTGAAAATAATTGAATTTTCTATTAAATTTCTTAACCGTAAATGACTCTTATGTTGTTGATTAGGTTGATCATTTCATTGTTTTAGTCATCTGTGTTTAAGTCTTATGTATGTTGAACAAATTATATGGTTTTATGTAAAAGACTGTGTTATTGCTAGAAATTGAATTAAAAATCAAAAGAAAGTTTCACTTACCGTAATATTTGGTAGTTTTTTGTTGCAGTAAAAACACATGCTTATGAGCATTTGGTATATTTTGCTTGTGAATATTGATTTGCACAAAATAAATATGAACTTTATTATTTTACGACTTGGCTTTTAATTTTTTATAGATTTTAAAATGTGTTTGTTCTTAATCTTCCATATAGGATTAAATGAGTAATAAATATACTTTTCTAATTTTCTTAAGAAATTTGCTCGTGTGGAGATTACTGACCATTAATAGATTTTTTTTTCATCACAGTAATGTCAATTTCAAATCAGACACAAAAGGTCAAAAACGTAAATTAACGAACACATTGAAGATGTCATCGCAAGTTTTTTGCGAGTGTTTTTAGGATCAGAAGTTCTGACTATACTGAAATGATATTTTCGTGGAGCTTACGAGTACATTGGTACAAATTACGAAATAGGAGGAAGCAGTCTGTATATGGCAAAGATGATGGATGCATTGCTTACATCATATCGAAAACTTCATGCTATGAAATTGATATGAGCAAATACAGCATCTTCTGGAAGCTTAAAATACTTGAAAACTTTAAAGGATTTGTTATTTAGAGAAGTACGATTTGAAAGAGTGAAATTCAAAACCGTCAGAAATATTCCAGTGCAAGGCAGTAATGTGAGTTTGCGGAAGAGGCAAGAAATGATTTTTTTTAAGCTTGTCATCTAAATTTTTGATTGAATATGGAGTGAAAAATTCGATTAAATTAACTTTAGGATTAAATCGGCGCAATTGATCTTGCTAAATTCATGTGGTGAAGAATTGTTCAAAAACGCGATGCAAGCATTACTCAATTATAGTTATTGTCTTATTAAAAGTTCTAAACATTCATTTAATTCAAAAATTACTTCAAGATATTAACAAAAGTTGGTCATTATAATAAAAAATGCACCTTTAAAGATTTACTTGAGAATTTACTTCATGACTTAATCATTTAAGCATACATATTAAAATGAAATTAAGTCATTGTGAAGTGTTAATTTGGAAGTATTGCTTTGTATTTAAGGAAGCAATTGATTGCAGAAGTAGAATCATTATAATAACACTGTATTTCCAATCTCAGCTATTTTTGTTTGCACAATTATCATTGTAGTAATCATTTATCGTAATAACTTTTATAATAATAATGCATGATAGTTGCATAATTTGTCAAGAAAACAGAAAGTATAATGATTACTTAGCAGTTTAAGTTTTTGGTGTAATGATGGCAAGTTTTTCTTTATCTTTATATCACAAATATTTTTTCTGTTTTCTCTACTATTTGTGTAATATTTTTTTAAGTAAAAATTTTTGATAGAAATGAAATCATTTACTAAATTTAATTAAATTGATAAAGTTTTTTTTTGATACAAATATATCACTTTAAAATTTTTTATGCTTAAATTTTTTCTCAAATTTAATAATTTCTTATTGAAATTACTTAAAATTACATGATAATAGCAAATTATTGCACAATATATATGAAATACATAGAGAAAAAGATTTTTAATTCACGCAACCCTTTACTGTTCGTATATGCGTGTACAAAAATATACACGTTGACACAAATACATACATAAATATTATATTTTATTTGAATATACGATCTCACTAACACTTTTTTGATAGAAAAATGTATGTTTTCAAATATTATGATTTTCTCATTCAGTCTTAACTTTTTATTGCTGTGAAAAAGACGTACTCAATTACGTACGACTGTTTTGTCATACTTTTTCTTCCTTGCCTTCGTGCACAAATTGAGTAAATAGTATTCGTTGGAAAACAATTATTAGCAAAACTTTAGACTTGTTTTTTTGTTTTTTATTGTTTTTTAATTGCTTTTTTTTACTTAATTTTATATTCACGCAAAAAGTTCAGTTGTAAAATGCATATAAGGTAGTGGAATAATTATTTAATTCAATAATGTTTACATTAATTATTGTTCATAGTTTTTTCAATATTGTTTATGAGTAATTTGCACATTCATCAATACTTTAATGTTTTTGTTTTAAAAAATATTACTAAATTATA